GAAGAGGCTATGAAAGAGAACCGAGGGAGAGGGAAGAAGAAGAAGAAGAAGAAGAAGAAGAAGAAATGGAGGGGAACGAAGGATGAAAAGGTGGAGAGAAAAATACGAATAGGAAGAGGCGACTGTGTAAAGAAAATGGTTCAATACCCAGGAGGAGATAACGACTAGGGGAGGGAAAAGAGGGAGGAGAGGGAGAGAGTGAAAAAGATGGGGAGAGAAAGGAGGAGGAGGAGTGAAGGAAGAGAGTGACAAAGAGGGTAAGGGGCTAAGGGAGGGAGGGAGGGAGGGAGTAAGGCGGAGTAAGGAAGGGAGAAGAGGAAGCGAGGGGGAGATTTATCTTATCCACGTTTTCATTGTGGATGTACATGAAATATATATATATATATATATATATATATATATATATATATATATATATATATATATATATATATATATATATGTGTGTGTATTAATGCAAATATTGTTTATTAAAGTTTCAGGTGCCTGAAGGTTAAAATATATTGGGATATAAATGACGTATATACACAGTATGAACAAAGTGTTCATTAGAGAAAGTGTAGTGAACATACAGTGAACATACAGATTAACAAGCAGTGGTCACGTGATCATGTGAGCTTAGTGTAAGAAATATGACACGTAGTAGTAGTACCTCACAGATATGTATAAGGAGGGCATCATGGGAGTAGTAGTTCTCACAGGTGGTGTTATGAGGGCCTGATGTGGTGTAGCACTCTCTCAGAGAAAGTGATAAATGATTACGTGTAATTCTCTACAGATGGAAAAGGAGGGCCTGATGCAGTAATTCTCACAAGATGGCAAGTTATGAGGGCCTGATGGTGTAGTAAATTGGTGTGTACATGGAATTGGATGTGGTAGTAATTCTCACAGATGGTGCTAAGAGGGAATGATAGGCATTTCTCACGACAAAGGTGAGGGGCCTGATGTGAAAATTTCACAAATGGTAAAGGCAGGCCTGATGATGTAGTAATTTCACAGTTATGAGGGGCATCACTGGAGTAGTGAAACTCACAGGTAGTATGAGAATGGATGTGGTGGTGCAATTCTCTACAGATGGTGTTATGAGGCCTATATGTAATTCTGTATTAGATGATATGAGGGCACCACGAGTAGTCTTCACAGGTGTGTGTTAAGAGGGCTGATGTGGGTGTGCACTCTGGCCAGACAGGTTATGAGGGGCCTGATGATAGCACTCTCACAGATGGTGCAGGAGGGCCCAGTGTGGGTGTGGCATCTCACAGATGGGTGTACAGCCCTGATGATGTAATTCCCCTCGCTGATGGTGCTATGAGGGGCCTGATGATGTAGCACTCTCACAGATGGTGCGAGGGTCTGTAGATGATGTAGTAATTTCACAGATGGTGTTATGAGGGGCCTGATGTGGTGTAGTAATTCCCTCACAGATGGTGTTATGAGGGGCCTGATGATGTAGTAATTCCCTCACAGATGGTGTTATGAGGGGCATCATGTGGTGTAGTAATTCCCTCATAGATGGTGTTATGAGGGGCATCACATGATGCTGTAGCAACTCGTTCACTACGTGGTGTCGTAGCATCATGGGGACACCACACGTGTGTGTGTGTGTGTGAGACAGATGTTGGGCCCCCCGCCAAACTGGACCACAGCAGCGGTTCAGTACACCTGAGTCAACATCTTCAACACGTCTTTTTTAAAGTAGCCATATTTGTTTATAACTTGTTCCTGAGATGCCATTGTCTGGGTCATTGTTTACTCTAGCCAGTGCCCCCACCTTCCCGACATGACTCATCTTATCTTTTTCGCGTGAGGCTTAATTTTGATAGGGGATCAATACTTATGTAACTGTATTTTAAACCCTTGGATACGGGGGTTTATTTCTCTGAAGATGAGGGTTTAACTCACTGAGGCCGATGGTTTAACCCCTTGAAAACAATGATTTGCACCTTAGATTGTAGCTTTAATTCTTAATGTTAATAATGATAAAAAATAAAAACAACAATAATAATAATAACTTTCTGAGAAATAACACACACACACACACACCATAACATTAATCTAATTCCTTTTCTCTCCCCCACACAGGTAACACAGTCATGGAAGAGGACACCCACCCACTCACAAGTCCATCCGGTGTCAATATGAAGGTGAAGAAGGAACTACGAAGCAGGGCAGGCCGTTAGTCAGCGAGGTCACGGCGTCCCAGATAAATCTCACCAGTTCATAGTCATTAGAGTCAATATTCGGCTTCGTATCCGTGTTTGCCCGTGGCCACTTGGTGCAGCCTCGAACCAGTCTCCTGTGTTAGCAGAAAGTTGGGAAAGCAGAAAGTTTGGCAGATGTCTAGAGAGCTACATTGCTGTGTGTGTGTAAGAGACAGAGAGGTGGGTGTGTTGTAAGAAGCTACACGACGGTTTTTTGTGGATTGTTATTGAGAAAAAAATAGTTGTAGGCTGAGGTTGTGTGTGTACAGACGTCTTTCACAGGTTTAGAAGGCGGTGTTTGTGCAGTGTACTTCATGGAAAGACGCTGTGCACTGTTGCTGTGTGTAAGCAAGTCCTTTCACAACCAAGGAAAAAAAAAAGATTTATACAAAAGACTCGAGGCAAAATGTGTTGGACAATGTAAACCGGAATTAAAAGCCATAGTGAACAGGAAAGAACCTAGGTGCCATGAGACATATCCTGATACATAGCCAAGTTGTATAAACTCACTAGAAGGTTGACAGATTGTGGTGTCCTATATGTTAGAAAACCTTTACGTGTTAGTGTCTCGGAGTTCAGGACTTGGTAGAAAGAGGAGGAACAGTTGATGTCTAGTTGTCGTGATTGTGGTGGAGGGAACAAATACAGGACAGTACTGATATTTATAACACGACTCAGAGCCAAGGAGTGAGACAACCCTTATCAGTCAGGACATGTCACTGAAAGCTGAATTTCCTGGTAGCGTTCACTTACGCATTCCATTATCCTCATCTAACAGTTCCACATCCCATGCCCTGTGATCTGTTCCTTGCCACCTCTCTTTATCCTTCTCAGATTCACTCCCTCTGTTTTCACCTCCACCACTTCTGAGCTCCTCTCATCTCTTCTACTCAACTCTTCGTCTTCAAAACCTCCTGCCAAGATCTTTCGTCCATGTTTTCCCACCATTTGTACCTCCCAGAGCAACCTCTTCTTAGTCATGCTGAACCCCAAAACTCTTGCCTGCCAGACCCTCAGCAGAAGGCTCCCCACCACCGCAGGGAGAAGACCAACCACCACGGGAAGTCCCTCAAAAGCTCTAACTCAAAGAACCAGGGTCAGTTTCATGTCGAAAGAGAGGATTTCGATACTGGGGGGAGTTTACGGTACCAGGCCCCAGCAGGAGGAGAGGAGAGGTACCAGTGTATCGCCAGGAGCCACCAATACTCAGGCGTCAAGGGCAGTGACCAGGCGGGGGACCAGCACCAGGTGCCTGACCTCCACCACCCTGACCTTTACTGCCAGAAGAACCTGTTTCCCTCTGGCAGGAAGTCCTCTCAGGAGAACAGCTTCAACTATTTAGGTAAGGCTGAATCATTTTCAGCATCTGTTTGTCAGTGTTGTTTTTATATGGCTTCTCTCTTCTATTTAGTCCATCTGTCTTTGTGAATCTGCTTGTTTTTCTGTGTATCTATCCGTTTATTTTTTTTGCTCGACTGCCTCTTGCCCCTTGCAGTCACTGACAGGATCAACACTCTTTTCCAATTTGGGTTATTTATTCATGAGGTGCACCACTAACGTTGCCTCCCTCTGTGTGGATTCAACCGGAATACGAACCTGGAAGTCATGGGACCTCAACACCACCAGACATATAGCACGACTTGACCTTTTGAAATAATTTAGTTTGGGTATCCTTGGGCCATAGACATTCAATTTTTGGTTTATAAACAACAAGACTCAAAATTTAGCTTTACAGTCAAAAGATCTTTTAAAGTTGACTTAATTTTTTTTTTACTTGTTTAAAATTATGAATGATACCAGGAAAAATGGTCATTATTGACAAGTACCGCACTAAATTAAAACATTAAAAAAGATGATTACTAGGGTCTTATTTCCCCCAGCCACTACTCATAAGTACCCCCTGAAATATAAACAATTTTGAAAGATCGTTGTCTCTCCCCCCACACTAACCATTATTGAGAAGTACCCCCTAGCTACAACCAACCCCAGGTGAACCGTTTTGATGAAGACCTGACACGAACACATCAGTCCCTTGGCCTCACCTGCAGCTTCCTACACTGAAGGTGCAAACAAAAGTGACTATACTTCTCTTTTCTCCTCATCTTGACATTTAGGAGTTATTGGTGCAAAGTTGAGGTCAGATAGATAGATATATAGTTGATTTATTTTTTTTTCATCTTGTATTAATTCATGGTTTATTATTATTATTATTATTATTATTATTATTATTATTATTATTATTATTATTATTATTATTATTATTATTATTATTATTATTATTATTATTATTGTTGTTGTTGTTGTTGTTGTTGTTGTTGTTATTATTTTATTTACAATACTGTATTTATTAATTTTTTATTATTTTTTGTTATAATATTTATTTATTGTTATTATTACCTGTACTGTAATTATTGTTTATTTTCACCCCCCAGGCCCTGATTTGGGCCAGTGACCTTTGCTCAGGTGGGCTAATCCCCATAAAAAAAGAAAGGAAAAAGTACAGGGTAGTAGGCAGCTATCAAACAGGGAGGTACTGTGGGGTACGAGTTGTTTGGGTTCACACTCAGGATGGGATGGAGAAAGGAAACTCACAATGTGCTCTCTGTGTACATATTATATTGGATGTACAATGCAACTTGGTGGCTGGTGCTGGGAGGAGGCAGCGTGGTTACAAGCGTGATGTAGAGAGAGCTCAGAGGAGGACCAGCTTGTGGGTCGCCATGCTCACCGGCGGGAGCGAGGGCCGCCAGGCAGCGGCGGAGGAGGTGGTGTTGCTTGCTGCGGCTGTAGCTAGAAGAAGAGAGTGGTCACCACGAGGTCAGGTCTTAAATAGCGGAGGTAGGCGTGGCTTAGTAGTTGACCTCGGTGATGTAAGGCGGCGCTGGCTGACCTAGACCACGAGGCATACACTGGGGAATTCGCGGGGTTGGCTACTCAGCGACAAACAGCGTTTGTAGGGGAGAAATCCACTACAGTACTACCGCCTAGGAAGATATTGGAAGCATAATGTTTTGTCTAATGGTAAACCCTGCTGCCATATGGCATCACGAAAATTGTGACCAAGTCCCAGGTTGCTGGGTCTCAATTGTTTCTCTTACTATGACAACACAACATACATATATCGTTTCTATTATTATTATTATTATTATTATTATTATTATTATTATTATTATTATTATTATTATTGTTATTGTTATTGTTATTATTATTATATTTTTACCCCTTGGCCCCAATGTGGGTCAGTGATCTTATGCCTGTTAAAAAGAAAGAAGATAGATAAATAGATACTCTAGTTAGATAGATAGATAGAGTAGCATCATGGAGTAAAATTTACAGTTAACAATTGAAGATGAATACAGAGGTTCTAAAGATAATCACCAACTGCAATGATGTAATCCTAACCTTAAGTTCCACTCTTGAACAAATAATTAAGTGTTGCCATGAAATTATTTGCCTTGAATATAATGCAGTGAGACTTCTATTTAATGGACTATATGTGAGAGGTTAGTCCGTTAGATCAAAGTCCATTAAATATGAAACCTGCTTCTAATGGACTATGAGAGCGAGAGAGAGAAGGTAGTCCGTTAAATATGAAACTTCTTTCTAACGGACTGTTAAATCGAAGTCCGTTATGTGGAGGTTTCACTGTAATGTCAATAAGGCTCAGATGGGTAAATACTTTTAACTATACAATGTACAGTACTTAATAGTACTGTATGTACAAAAGCACACAGGAAAATTACACAGTTAAAGTAATAAGTATACTCACGATTATCAAATGAACACTGGTGTAATGGTCTGGCCTGAAGTCACTCCTGTAATAGGTAACAGGAAGGATCACTGTCCAAGTTTAACTAAATGTCATGCCCTACTACAGTACAAGGAATCGTTGGTAATAGCACACAAGTAGGACACACATTTGAACTTAAGTTGTCTTAAAGTCTGGCAAGTCGTTCTGGTAACATAAATATATACAGTACCGTATCGTGATGAGAAAACGTAAATGATGAAAAAATTAAAGCAATATCCTTCACCTCGATACATGTCATGCAAGAGGAATTTATGTTCCAGAGTGTGTTAGTCATGTTCATGTTTTCTTTATGACATTTATTATCACCAGAGTGCTTCACATGTGAATTTTTTGCTTCTCAAAGTGAGGAAATTATCACAGATTAATACAGAAAGGTTATTAAATTATTTGCCCTTAAAATTTCATAATATAAATAAGATAAATTAGAGACTGAAGAACTGTTGTGATTCTTTTGGTATCCATCCACCAACCAATCAGCTGCCTTGCTACAAACTGATCCTAGGCCTCATTTGCAAGTTGCTAGTGAACAGACTATAAACTGTTAAGGTACAATATTCATCAATAGTAAATTGAATTGAATTGAAACAGCTTATTTAGCCAGAAAAACACAGATACAGAGTGGATAATAATAACAATATTAACATGGCTGAGCCAGTTGAGAACCTGAGCTCTCTTTGAGGTACCTGATATATACTGTACATTTATCTCAAGGAAGTATTATGTAACATTTAGTATCAACTGGAATAGTACAATAGCATGGTGGTAATAAGAACATCTCATAATGTTACCACTATTATCACTTCAAAATTTATTAATTTTATTCGTTTATTTATTTATAGTACCAGTATGTATATGAATACTGTATATAGCATAAGCAGGGGCTCAGAATACTTCAAAACACGAATGTTATATTAAAGTTACATTTACAACAGATCATTTGCCAAGAGGATGCAATTGCATGTCAGGTTACTTATACAGTGTATTCTCAAGGTATGTTATTATGCTGTCACAGTGTAATGAAGGAATGGGTTTGATAATTAACCCCTTTGTTTATCTGTTTGCCACTGTATAATGAGGGGAGAGGCAGAATAACTGTTCATCTCACACATGTGTACAAAAAGTGTCCAGTGTGGAGGGATTGTTCTTCCATAATATTTATATTAATGAGATTTGTTTTTATTTCCTTAATTTTTTATATACTCTGTATTTATTTATTTTTCTTTAAAGGTGGCACAATGTACTCCCCATGTGCTAATGAGGGTTTAGGACGACACCTGAGTGGAGCCTTCTGGTCAGGTAGAGGCCCGGTATGTCGTCCAAGGTTTTGGAAGTTTTTCCTACTGGTGGTAGTGCTGTTGATGATGGCACAGTTCTCCCTCAATGTCCTCCTCTACCGCAATTATGATTCTCTCTTCTACGTCAATGTTACGTCCACTGAGGCATTGTCGTCCTTTGAATCTAAAGTGAGTAGCCAAAATAATGTACCGTGTTTTCTTTATAACTGTAGCCAAATTACAGTGTTTTCTTTGTAACTACAGTAATAACCAAAATACTGTACAGTGTTTTCTTTGTAACTACAGTAATAACCAAAATACTGTACAGTACAGTGTTTTCTTGTAACAATTAGCCAAGATAGTGTTTTCTTTGTAAGTACCATAACTTTAATCTGAGGTATTATTTAATACAAAATGTTAAAAACTCTTGAAGGGAGGATTGGTGGGGGGTGGGGGGGAGGGTTGGGACTGACCGTGCGGTTGGAAGAGGGGGGGAAGGCAAGGTGGGGTACTTTGATTGACAGATAGTGTTGTGAAGATTATTTTTTTTTTTATTAACTGAAGATATTTGTTTTAGCTCATAAAATTCATACAAATTACCCGGTCAGAATATAATTTACATTGGTGGAATTCTTATAATTTGGTGATCATTTTGAATATAAACATCATATATTTTTCATTAAACATACAAATTTTAGATAAAAATTTTTCTCTAGGTAACTATGTTATCTTTTGTGCAAAATATATGACATTTATATTCAAAATATTCCTGGTCTTACAAGGAATCCAGCAATGTCAATTGTATTATCCTAACTTTAGTTTGAGGTATTATTTATTAAAATTTAGTGGTTTTCCCCAAAAAATTTCTCTGAGAGGGAAGAGCCGGCAGTGTAGTGTGAGAGGGAGTTGAGTCCATTATTTGAATGGACATTAACTTGGCGACTGTATTTCTCTATTTCTCTTAAGTATTAATTGTGTGCATGTACCATCATAAAAATTAAGATGTTATTTTTACTACAACATAGGTATGTGCCTTCAAAAAGTGGAGTTTGGGGGTCGGGCCGGTTTCTATTGGAATTAATCCCATATGTTCTGTTGTTCACTTAACGCGGATTTCACTTAACACGGGACCCTCTGGGTTCTATTGACCGCATTAAGTGGGGTACAACTGTATTTTGTCATTCTATTCCTTCTTTTGTCTTAAATTAAGTGATTTTAAATGTATATAAGGACTTAGGCTGTGATATAGTGGGATTTTAAACATTGTTCTGTAAGTTCAGTATGCACATAGCATGTATTCCGAATTACATACAGATCCGACTTAAGAGCGTCCTCAAGAATGGAACCCATTCATAACCCAGGGGCCCCCCTGTACTTAGATGTACAGCATACAGATATTTCATTAAAATATAGATAATAAGAATGTGTCAGATATGTATGTTGTGTTAGATGTAATTTTCACTCCCATTTTGTTTTGTTTCCTTCTATTGTATTATACTTACATGTAAACTAATTGCAGGTAAAATGGGTGAGCTCTAAGTTACCATGGTCACATTCCATCTCAGAGAAGCCAGGTGGTGTAGCCCAGTCGCCTGACCTAGACACCAACCGTATTCGCAAACCTTTACCAGATGGACAGAGGACGACGCCGAGTACATTGAAAATTGATATAGATGTAAAGAATTTGACAGGTGTAGAAAAAGTGGACCCAAAAAATTTGACTTCCACAAATGAAGCAATAAATGAAGAAGGGAAGAAAATAAACCCTCTTCATTCACCTCTAAATGACACAAAGAGGAGGAAATCTGAAACAAGTGACACAGTTAACAGTGAGAAACTTGCATTGAAGGCTGCAGTAGAGATTTCCAGTGCAGGTGATGAAAAGAAAGATACTGAACAATCAAAAATACCTCATGTTGATGCTGAGGTAAAGACACTGGTGAATGTCAGCAGCAGTGGTGTTGGTGTGGAGAAGAAGAAAGTACTCCTGAGTAAAGAGAAGCCACTTTGTCCTCCTGTGCCACCCAAACTAGGTAAGTC